AGTCTCGCTGGCCTCCGCCAGCCATCTCTCTCCAAGACTACTACCACTACCACTACTTAGCGCCCTGCGCTGAAGACTACTCCTGCAGCTACTAGTGCCCAACGCTGAAGACTACTGCTAGCGCTAAGCTACTCCTGCAGCGCTCCTCCTGAGTGCTGCTGCCGAATCCTGAAGACTGCCTCCTGCCTTCTGTCCAACTACCTACCCGTGAAGTGCATGGGAACTCCCTATGTACTACTCGGCCTGCCTCCTGACTGCAGGGCGAGGCAGTCCAGGAGGCTGCTCTTGCCAATGTCGAAGGGAGTCAGGGGCTGCCGCTGCAGCTCCTGCTTGAGGCTGTCATGGGAACAGGTTAAAGATAGCCTGTTCCCGAAACCTTGGTTTTGTGCCTGAGTGTTAGGGTAGGTCGATCTTATGAGGGCCCGAAAGTGGCCCTCCGTTTCAGGCTGAAAAACCTCAGGGCTGAAAAGCCCTATTTTAGGCTGAAACGACATAGGGCCTGCAGGCCCTCGTTTTCAGTCTTTAGGCTGAAACGACAGGGGGCCTGTAAGCCCTTATTTCTAGGCTTTTAGGCTGAGAATGCGAAACGGGCCCTGCAGGCCCGTGTGGCTACACAGTATGCCACACCCCCCCCTCCTTGAAAGACCGAGCTTACCTGCGAGGGCGAAGCCGTCTGTCTGAGGGAGGGACCATAGTCTGGGTGGGAGGGGCAGGTCGTGAAGTTCCCTGAGCTAACCTTTGTCGCTCGTAGTGAGCGTAGATCAGTGGTGCGGATGCCTTCAAATTTGTTCCTGAAATCGACCGAGTGTCGTCGGGATCGCATGCTTTGAATGTAACTTTGTACTGTCGCGGCTTGCTGCCGTACTTGCGATCCGTGATGACGTGGTCAACTTCCTGATGACCATCCATAGATGGAGGGTCCTGCGATCGTCGGCCCGGGAAGTCGTCGCTCTTAGCTGGTGTATATGTTGCCAGCTTCGAGGCGTGAAAGACTGGATGAACCATCAAATGTGGGGGGATGTTGATCACAAATGAAGGGCTATCGGGCTCATCGCCCGCGGCTGATGTTACGGGCCATGGTCCAAACCACTTGGAAAGCAGTTTGCGTGAAACATCCTGTTCCAGTGCAAACTCTTCCGCGGAGACCCAAACCAGATCACCGGCGCGGATGGGACATGGCACGCGACGCCTGTTGGCTTGCTGCTGCATGCGGACTTGAGCCTTTTGCATGTTCGCGCGGGCTTGAGCCAGCAATTCCCTGTACTTTCGGATGGCAGTGGGAGAGCAAGCGGCGTCGATGTCGGCAGGTCGTGGGAGGAGAAGGTCGGCGAAGATACGGCCTTTCCGTCCACCGTGGTGCAACTCAAATGGAGTCACGCCGATCGCCGGGTGCACCGAAGT